TGTAGTGAGCATTTTGGCAAACCATTGCAAAAAACGCTAATGGGAACTCTTCCCGATTAGCGACCGGGGAGGGTCGCTAATAAGTCTATGGGTTTCCCCATATTAAAAATGGCAAAATATGCGACGCCTGAAAAGATGAAATATGATCTCAAAAAGGTAACCTATACGCAAAGCACTCAATCACTCGAGCAGGAACGTTTATCCAACACATTTACATAAGTAAAAACTGATCACGTGATGCACCGAAGGCGAAAAGAAGGCGGAAACCCAAAGTTTGCGGGCTATCTTGTTTGATATTCGAGGTCCGCGCTGAATTCGGAACCCCTGCAGTCGGTGACGACATTTGGCATCCCCTGCCACACATTGCAAGCTTCAGCAACACCTCATTTTCATTTCCCTCTTTTCCCCTTTCTTTCCCTTCTTGAGCTATTTGCGACCATGTCAGGCGCAAATAGGAAATATGAGTTGCGACACATTTTTAACCGCCATCCTGTGCACAGTTGAGCGATTCACTATGGGAAAACGGCAATCAATTAAAAAAGGAATGTCGATTCAGAATAAAAAAGGTGCATCATCCTAATGTGCATCGCTTTTCATTAGAGAGGGCCTAAACACACACGTTTTGGATAAGAAACTCGTCATTTTTATTTAAACTTACCTGAAACGTCCCACCAGAAACATCGACGACCGGAACATGATTTAATTTGATAACCAAAGTATGGCTGACCTTTTGACGATGTTTTTACCCCGTTTTCTCCTGCCAGCTTTTCTGTAGGGAGGTAGGTCGCAAATCGGAAAGGGTCGCTAATTAGGCACCTTACCCTATCCATCGATAAATTGAGCTCGCGAATCGGGAAAGCCACCATTGGACTTGGCAAGACTGAATACATGCCAAATCGAATGATAGGGTGAATAGGTCAAAAACGCCCCCCTTAAGCGCGAAACCTTCTGACACTCAACCCAACACAGATTACTTAAACCTTTGGGCACCATCATGTAGCTCATTCTTTTTACTACGTTTTGAGACCAAGAAAAGTCACCTGCGTGTGGTATTTAACCACCCAAAAAGGTTTTCGCATACCCTTGCAAAAGGGCGTTTTGCCCCATACCCTGGGTAATACGCCCACACCCATGTGCAAAGCGCCCCCACCCCATCTATCAACAGAAAATGATGAACATGGCAGAACTTGACGTCGTTCTGACGTCATTTGTGGTCAACCTATCATAGCCTTTGGAATAAAATTTTGTTGCAATGTGTAAAATGGATGCCCGGAGGAGTCCTGAAAGTTTGGTGACGATATCTGCAGTCGTTTAGGATATATCAGCAAAAAAGGACAGGGTCAGGGAGAGGCCTTTTCGGCCCCGACCTACAAGGCGCTACCCTGCACTCTCACCACCGTGCAAAACGCCCCCCTTTCAGAAAACTGGGGGCGTCTTGCCCCATGCATCGAGTAGGCGTCTTGCCCCATCCACACCATTTCCGGTCAACAAAATATTGACAAAAAACGCGCCACTAACGCCGCAGCATAATATATTCAACAGAATGACAATAAAACGCAGTTTTGAGTGATGTGCACAATAGCAAGGTTTGTGATATAAAGAGGGCATCAAAATATTAGGAATCTTCTGCAAAAACAACAAAAACAACATCCAAAACCAACATCAGCACCTACCCACGCTGCTCCTCAAGACTCAGAACCGGAAATAGAGACCTACGTAAACAAGCAGCTGACTGTTCTGAAAGGCAGGATAAAACACCTATCCGTCGATAAGAAATACGATTTTTTAGGGGAGGCGTTTAACCCAGGGGCGCGTCTTCCCCACAGTTACCCTAAGTAGGGGAAAGTGGGGTAAGACGGGCACTTAACTTTGGAGCCATTTTTCGGCCGGTTAGAAACATCATAGAAACGAGAAACTGAGTGAAAACCTTTTTTTAGACATTTGACTTCCATTTGCCAGAAGATGAGACTTAGACCTGATTCAACAAATTAACTGCAGCTATTTTTGCAAAACCTTGCAAAAACCCGTCTTACCCCACCCCATGGGGTAAGACGGTCACATGGGTAGGGCAAGACGGCCAGCTTCTTTCACCGACCAGCACAGCTCGCAACAAATGCCGAGATTAGCCGCATTGATACAGTCGCTCGTTGGTCTCAAGTGCTTCGGAAATGGCCAGGAAATGGCTACGAGATTCGTGCAGAAGGCGTGTGCTCGTATATAGGCCCTAGTTCAGAACCCATGTAGAACCTTTTTTCACATTCATTATTCGAGAATAAACTGTGCCGAAGGAATATTGCTAACATGTCTGTGAGTATCGGAATCGAACAGATTCTTATTAGAAATGCTTCTTTTTTCCTACAGCAACAAAAATATTTTCACCATTACAGACCCATTGGATCCATAGTTATTAGTTGCCCGTCTTACCCCAACCTCAAGGTCACGATTTTTCTCTGTGGACAATTTGATGCAGACAAAGCAAATCCGCGGTAAATGAACAATGGTGGCATGGCATACAGGGTGATCCAAAAAAATTGGAACCCCTAACTTAAAATGTCCGTAAGTCCGAAAGTTTTCACATTATTGCCAAATTGCTAACACCATTAGAAAGAGCGTTCAATTCTCTATAAAACAAGTTGATTGGACTTAACTATTACTATAAATATTGCCCTAGTTATTTGCCTATAAAATTTGTGTCACGAAACTCACTGAAACGGTTTTGAACATTATGCGCAAATCAGTGATTTGCGGTTTGCTGTTCTGACCATGTCGCATGTTGGAGGTTCATAAATAAAAAATAGGTCATTCACGTGCTATTGTAAGGAATTTAAATTTCAACAGGAGCAAAAAAAAAGGCATTCGGTGCGTTCGGTGCTCCGTGCCACACGGCCCACTCAGTGGTCGAGTTTCTGGAACAGGCCTGCCCGGCCTTCATCGCGAGCCAGATGCCTGGCCACCGAAGAGTCCTGACCTCAACCCTTTGGACTTCTTCGTGTGGAGCGAACTGGAGCGAATTATGTAAAAAGGTCAGAGGATCAGCACCATAGAGGAGCTGAAGGAGAGGCTGACGGCCTGCTGGGATCAGTTGTCCCAGAGAATGCTGGCCTGCGCCGTCGGAGCCGTCCCGAAGCGACTGCAGACCTGCGTGACGGCCAACGGAGCTCGATTTGAGCACATGCTGGGATGAACAGCGGAAGCTAGGACGCGTTTATCTGTTCTATTGTGTGCTTCTGTCAGTTCTGTGTAAACTTTTATGTAATTAAATTGAAATTGGATGTGGTGTAATTCGCAAAGAACAACAGATGGAGTGCTAACGGACTTAGTGCATTGTTAACAATTGGCGATTTCGTTTCACTCAGTTTTCTGACGCTCATTCCAAAAGCTAATAGTGTGTCAATGCTTTACAACATACATGCACTAATTTGACGTGATGTTATAGAGGATTTAATGCTCTTTCTAATGGTGTTTGCAATTTTTCAATAAAGTGAATACTTTCGGACTTATAGACATTTTAAGTTAGGGGTTCCAAATTTTTTGGATCACCCTGTATGTGTGTACCACAAGTGATTGCGAGCTTTTAACTCTATAGTGCTGCACACAAAAGCTTGCACAATACATTATGGATGTTATCAATGAAATGAGTGTTTTAAAGAAATCAAAATATAAGATTATCGACTGGACACAAATTCGCCAGACTTCATTGGTGGTGTGTAGTTAGTGGGAAAGGCAATTCTGGTCCTAATTTTGCTCGCTCGTAGCGCTATTGGTTTGGTCTGCAGAAGGGGTGCCCGTCTTACCTACCCTGACCGTCTTACCCCACTTTCCCCTTTATACGATTTGACCTCCTTTGACCAGCTCTGTGGCCTGACCTTAACGCAAAGTGACCTGACCTTCCGTGACCTGACCTTAACCTTAACGCACCTTGGGTTATTCTCACCAGAACAAAAAGTATGTCATTCAACACGCCTGAGCGCGACGAACACAACGATGCCAAAATATCCGGGCTCTGTTACAATTTTGGCGAAGTTATTTACCAAAAACCGAACTTGCACCTCGAAGCACTTGACCTGACCTCAGAGGTCACCAAATGATATGAGACCTTGAAATCAGATACCAGTCGCTGCGTCTTGTAAAGGCGCAAACACTCGTTTTTTTGCGAATCGCGAGGCTCTAGAGACAAGATTAATTAATTAGGGGCGAAACGGCAAAGGGGTCGTACCCGCCCGCCCTTCCCCCCTTTCCTTGGCAAGGGCGCTTGTGGGTACAAATACGAAAAACGGATAGGTTCGGCGAGGGCTCACATTCGTAACCAATAGTCTCCAAGACGAATGACGCCATGAAAATAAAAATTCGACGTACATTGTGATTCAGCAATATAAAAGAATGCATTGTTCCACATACATATTTTTCATTTATATCAGAGGTCTAATTATTAGGTGCATACCTAGATTGGTCTACACATGCATGTCATCTGTAAGTCTAGATGAGGTGTTGTTCCAAACTTGTCTTTTTGTTGGCTGGTGATTGACCCGTGGTTATGAGGGCGTGGAGCCGTTCCGAAAATTCATTGCGTGTATTTATCTAGCCGTAGGTAGGTAGGTACTAACACGAACTACCTACGTCATACATTGAATCTTACGAACGCCCTCATATAGGTAACGAAACGTTCATTAGGTAGAGGCTATACCATAGGCAGTTCGGCCCATTTAAAACTTATCTTATTATCTAAGCTTGCAATCTGCACATCCTTTCACCGCACGGGTCACATGCATCAGGAACATCGCCGCTGTTTTTCCCACCGTTCGGCTCCCGTTCAGGGGTGCAACATTCGCGGTGTGACCGATTGCACCAGGGCCGTGGGTGGGACGACCCCGACGGCTGAATCTGGTGCAGAGCCTGGGAGCCTCTCCCCCTCGTGTCTGCCCCGCCCCTCCTCTCCTCTTCACGGCCCCTCTCCGTGGAGCCCGGGGCGGGCACGTTCCGCCAGTCTTGTGCCAGCCTCTTCAGTGAGAGGATCGGTCTCACGAGGGTCCGTGGATCGCCAGTCATACACAGTGTGTGGACTCGGCTGGCCTGTGCCTGGTGCGTTACACCCGGGAGCCGCCGGAAGGTGAAGCGATGTGGACCGTCACCAGACTGGCGACCCTGCTGTCGGTCGCCACACTGGCTTCACAGGGTGAGAGAAACGGCTGCGGCATGCGTTGTGACTTATTTTCATTTAGCAAGTGATGTTTCATTGTGTCGTGCTACTGCTAATTGTTCGGTGCGCATGGAAGCTCGAAATAATTGATATTTTTATCTGTGGTTTATTTTTACCAATTTTAAGTTGATTGCTTTTTTAATACGTAGGTCTGCAGTCACAATTATAATGCCTATGTATGCTTCAATAAAATGTGACAACTTTAACCCTCGCCCGCACATGCCATTTTCCCATCCTAGAACGCACATGGGGGGGTGGTTGCCACCCCCCCCGCGCCATTTCGTTCCTGTTGGAGATAGAGCTTAGCAGTAAAGACCAAAAAGATTCTTTGGGAAGAGACGAATCCAATGATACCCAGTTTTACCTTCTCAGGTCAGTCATTGACCTTCCAGGTCAGGTCAAACTAAAAAATGTTGCTGTTTTGGGTCACCGTTGGATATCAAGTGCGCTGCTTATCAAATACCGATGACGATGCTGTTTTCTGGTGCCAAGCCAGCTAGAACCTCTTTGTCACACTATCCGACCAGAATTTTGGTGCTGAGGTCATTTCAGGTCAAGTTAGGTCAAGGTCAATTATATGTGTTTGTATGTCTGTGTGTGTCTGTGTGTATACTGATGTGTGCACCGATTGTTTTTGGGTCCATATCACATGAAATCATGATCTGAGAAGTTTTTACCAAAAATGCAGTCAAAAAACTTCACAAAAAGAAAATTCAGCTTGCCTAAAACGCAATTATCTTAGATGACCTAGGTTGACCTTGACCCTGACCTTGACCCCTGTACATCGTCGAACAACATGTTCCATGATAGGTGGGAGGTAAGACTGGCAAAAAAGGCCGAAATCAGGGTGTCAAAAGCTCACAAGGCCCATGGCAAACGCAAGATGTTGAGAATTGGCCATTTGGGTCATGACATGACCTGAAAAACAAGGTCATATCTCCGAAACCAAAAATCACAGAAACTTGGAAGTTTCAGTGGACATCAAGAAAGGATAGACGAGCAGCTATACGAAAAATCAGCCTTCTAGCTCTAAAAATGTTGAGTGCAGAGCAGAAAGACTGCCTGGGGGGGGGTGGCAACCACACCCCCCCCCCCCATGTGCGGGCGAGGGTTAAAGGACGAACCTTATTGTTAATCGGAATCACAAGGATCTACAAAAATCTCCCCGCCATCCGACCCCAAGCCTCTGCCATCCCTCAGACCACCTGCCGGGCAGCTGCATGTTCGAGGGTCGCTCCGTCCCGGACGGGGCGCGGATGGCCAAATCGGACCCCTGTCACCTGTGCCACTGTCACGACGGCCGGCTGGAGTGCGTGTGGAAGCACTGCGGCCCTCCGCCTCCCGGCTGCCGCACCCTGGAGACGGACAACGCGTGCAACCAGACCGTCTACGTGTGTCGTAAGTCAGCTGAGACGCTCCCGGGATGATTTATAGTCCGTGTGTTTGGTAATCGCTTATGGTAATCGTCAGCAAAGTTAATGGCGCTATTTATTATCTGTAAATTATACACGTGCTTCATTCTGAGGGTTCAATTGGACCTGGCGGGGTTTTGCAATGTATGTCCTGGAAGCTCAATAGCAAGCTCGCATGCAACAGTAAGACGATGCTAGTTTAAAGTAACACATATCAGTTGCATTCTTTGTATGTAGTAAGACATCTTGTTCTTTCAGCTCTGCCCGAAGATAACGACAACACAAGCTCGTCCAGTTCTTCTGAGAGCATCACGTCATCGACCACCCTCGGCCCGTACTTTCCAGCTCTAACCTCATCTACGCCGTCCTCGGATTCGCCTCTGACAACGCAGTTCTCCCTGCTGCCGCCACCTCTGCCGTCTCTCTCGCCCTCACTGGAGGGCCGTCAGTCCGAGACGGATGAGCCAGGCACGGGACCAACCTACTTCAACGAGTTCTCGTCGGCCCCGATGAACTTCAGCGCTGCGTTGAGCCGCGGTGAGGGTCCACGTTCACCGAGTCGTCAGCCAGAGCGACAGGGAGATTCAGAGGACGATCGACTCCGCTTCAGCTCTCCCAAACCATGGGAAGGACCATCCGATGAAGAGACTTCGGAAAGAACGTCTGAGAGAACCACAGACCGGACGACGCTGAGGGCACTCGGAAGAACGAGCTATCGTCCGGGGTCGCGGAGGCCGTTCCGAATTTCCAGGCCACACACAGTTTCACCAGCGGAGCGAGAGGAAACGCAGGCCACGCAAAGTACTGACCGTTGGACCTCCACAAAGGCGTTGGGAAGAACCCAGTCGAGTACATCATCAAGGGACACTACCTGGACAACGCGAACAACACCGCGCACCAGACCATGGACCACATCACAAACGACCGTGCGCAGCTCTTCATTATTCCGAGAGGAGGGTTCAGCTAGGCCGAATTCAAAGCCTCGGCTCCGGTTCCCGAAGCGGCCGAATTTGCTCTTGGCTGTTCGGGAGAGGCTACGATCGGAGGAAGATGGCGATGAGGAAACCACTCGGCCTTCGTTCCACCAGCCCGAATCTGAACCTCTCCGGACCACCCATCACCCCATCCTGAGACCCCGCATCCGCCCTCTGTCACTCGCCGAGCCCAGCAAACTGGTGCAAACCACGGCCGAACCGGAGACAGTCTCAGCTCCCGTCACCGAACCTCGCAGACTAGGATCTCGTCCCAGTCGTCGACAGCTGAAGACGCTGTCCACCACAAGGCATCGCCTGCAGAGGCTGTTCCCGTCTACGGTCAGACCGGACACCGGTAGAAGCTCCGAAGATCTGCGCTCGCGTGAACCCGACCTCACGACAATCAAGCCGGAGGCTTCCACGTTTTCCTCTTCTCGACGACGAGTGAGACCGCTATCCGCCTTCCAGTCTCTGAGTTCCTCGAGCCCCATTCCTCGACCCCGATCTCGATTCCCCTCGACATCTCCGCAAGCTCGTCTATCCTCTTTCTCCCCTTCCAACTTTGACGTCATCTCCCCCTCCAGTATAGGCAACACAGATCGATCCAGTTTCCCTACATTCCAAGAAGCCAGCGCTAGTACGCCCGACAGTGCTACTCCACTCGAGCAAGGGCCTCCGTTCCTCGCGGTGCCAGCAGCGGTACCCCTGGCGGCTCCTGTGGTCAGCTTTGACTACGATCTGGAGGACGATAGTATCGACCTCACAGAGTACGAGTTTCCGGAGTTTGGTCGCCGCCTGAGGCGCGAAACGTCAAAATCAGAGTCACAAGAAGACGTCGAACAAGAGAGAGGAGACACCGGTGGGTCTGGGGCGAAATTTAGAGGAAGACGAAACGTGCGAGATGAACAAGCTGAAGAAGGAGAGAGCTGGCGAGCTAACCGTCTTCGACGATCACTCCTCCCTGGCGACGAGAGGCACGATCACGGACATCACGGACATCATCGTTCCCATCCTCACTCCCGAGACCATCGTGATCCCGATCTAAATCGCGAAGACGACCTGAAGTCGAGTCGAAACCGGCTCGGTGAGTACCGAGGAATCGGTGCGAAGAAGTCCGAGAGAAATTTGCGTCGACCGGGCCGCCGTATTGAAGACAATAAAGCAGAAGAGGACTTTAGAAGTTTCCAGTCTCTGGGACAGAACCCGAGTGAGCTCAGCGTCTGCTTCGTCTCGGGACTGCGATTCAAGCTGGGAGAAGTAATAGGTAAGTGAAGCTTTGCATATGTATCATTTAGTAATAACATGTCTAGAACATCGATTATAGTTTTTGAGCATTATACGAATGTTATAAGCAATCAATTACGAACAACATTTATATAACGCTCTACAAATATGATTGTCCAAGATATAGGTAACTAGAACCCGCTTATGACTGGAACATAAGACATGCATCATGCATGCAATATGCATAGATACCTACATACATTAGTGCATGGAAGCACTCATGTGCACATAGGTATACCTTAGTAGGTATGCATGTATGCACCAAAGATCTATGTCCATACATATAGGTGCATCGTGTGTACACTGTACATCAACGCTTACATAATATCGCAGCTCAGCCGGCAAAAGAGCTGGCAATTATTAACTAAATACCCAATGGTCGAAACATAAAAGACCGTCTCAATGCGCGAATATGAGCTAATTAATCATTATCAACTATAAAACGTCAGCAATTTAATGTGTCGAAACTTTCGATTCAATGAACTGCTACGCTACGTTATCCAATAATGATATAATTAATCTTATACTCACCCTAGCCATTAAAAAAGGCAGTTGCAATATTTCGACCACGTCTATATAATTTCATCGGATCAGGCATGGATTTTTATTCATTTTACGCACATCAGGTGTGGGCCCACAAAAGGGCAAATTAAACGTAAAGGTCCTGCGAACGATCCGTGGCACATTCCGGCCTGGCCATAAGAGCCATTGCGAGACGCGTTTCTGTACGCAATTAGACGTCCCTGGCCGGCCTGCAATGGCGCAGTTACGAGACGGCCGGTGACGAAGCACGCCCGGCGCCGCGGCGTGTGCCCTGCCGCTCCCCGCGGGCCAACTGTCACGAACTCGGCTGAGCTACATCTCTTGACCTCCGACCTTCGCACGGTGCGGCCTGTCATTATTACGGGGCTAACGCCGCGGGCAAACACATTCCCACCATTGCGTTCAGCAGTCCGCGCCGCCGCCCACCATCAAAGCTATACCACAACCGCCGCCGCAGCCCGCCGCTGCCGTCACTTCCATTCAAGCCGTTCATACAAATTACGACGTCATTCAAAGCATCCCCGCCCATCCTCTGTGAACTCTGTGGTTGTGACGCCGCGCGGTGGTAGCGGCGGTGGCTGTTGCGATATAAGGGTGGTGTATGTATGTACGGTGGTGAGGCGATGGATGGGTGAGGGCATGGTACGCCTCTCTCTCTCTCTCTCTCTCTCTCTCTCTCTCTCTCTCTCTCTCTCTCTCTCTCTCTCTCTCTCTCTCTCTCTCTCTCTCTCCCTCTCTCTCTCTCTCTCTCTCTCTCTCTCTCTCTCTCTCTCTCTCTCTCTCTCACTCACTCACTCACTTACTTTGAATGCTTGTGAGACAGAGGCTTGGTGTGCTGTGCTCTGACGAAGGTCGACAGGTCTGCGCCTCTCATCGCTGCTGTTTACCTCCCGTTTCGTGATGGGCACTCAATGCAGATAATAATAGGGCTATGTGGGTCGACAGGAGGGATTATTAACGATTAGCTGCTATTAAGCTGCTGCCTTCGCAGTAGACGGTTCGCTTATTTCAGTTGTTTGTGACCGGTGGCGACGTTTACGGCTTTTTGCATATATTAGACGTCTTAGTGCGCCGTCTTACAATATTGGAGAGTCGGAGACTACAGTACTGAACAACAAACTAACAAATGGGAACGCTCTGAACAGCCATCTTTCATAGCGCGTGAGTGCGCAGTCGACCCCCTCAGCGGGAGCGCACCTTGACACCGAATACGACGTCACGATGCTCCACTTCACGACTCTCCCAGTCCGACGTATTCGCATACAGCATAATGGCCATGCCATTATGCTCCGCGAGTTTACTACGCGTCATATTGCAAAATGGCGCGGGCCGCGGACTAACGCTCTGGCTTCTCTTTGTCCTTGGAGGTTCCATGACCGGCAGGGTACATGCATGCATGTCGGACCATGCAGGTCCCGTCTCACTTTAAGGGAGGCCATTCAGTGACGTATTCCATTGTGTTCTGACCTTTTCAGTTGACCTGACCTGACCCGATGATAAACAGGAGCTCCCTCGACACTGTGGGATCAGTTTCCACGTAATGTCCCGTTCAAGGGTGAGAGCCTTATCCTGAATGCAAGTAGAAGTATGTGAACCGAGAAGATGTGTTTCCAGGGCAAGAAGCTTTAAACCCTGTGCCCAGCCCTAGGTTTATGTTTTCATCGCACAAAAGAGGTACCTACCGATTTATTACAGTTGTTAGGTAAAAGGTAAGTAAGCCGTTTCATTTAGCCCGTTACAGTGTCTTTCGTCACCTTGGGTGTAACGTTAAATGGACTGCACAATGCACATGTGATATTCTCATAAAAAGGTAAAACCCGATAGCAGGGCCGGAACCGAACCGCTGCCATTGCAGTTCACCGAACACTTCCGTCAAAGTTGCAACCTTTGACGAGTTTACTCCGCTACTCGACGGGAGATAATGCATTACCGTACCGATTTATGGCGAGGTAAATAACTGCACTCCGTTGCAAGAGTTACGATGCGACAGTTTAGCTGCCGTCACCGCTGTCATAATCTCTGTCATTTACGGTCAAAGTTTCGACACTTCCGACATGCCCAGACATCCTAATTCAGACAGGGCTGTCAACAAGCGTCGCAAGACATTTGTTGTCTTTTGTGGGACAGTTCTTTATTTCCCGTGTCATCACTACGTTTATGACGTTAATCCGGACCAAATATATGAAGAATACATACAATATAATTGATTAAACGGTTATACGTAATAGGGAACACGCTATACGGCTAAACGTTATGCGGTTGGTTATACGTTACACAGTTATGCGTTATGTGGTTATGTTATACGTTATACGGCTATGCTCTATACCTACGGTTATGCATTATGAGGTTGTACGTTATACGAGCAGGTATGCGTAATAATTAGTACTACCTACAGTTTATACGAACGGTTGTCGCTTTGTTGATTTGTTTATCACCAACAAAGCCATGCTCCACTGACAGGTGAACTCAGAGCTGACTGTCCTTCTCGTTACATGTAACCCATGTTTGACCTCGGCCACCCTTCCCCCTACAGAGGCAGCATCGGACGGCTGTCTGGAGTGCCGCTGCGCCGGCGCCGCCATGTTCTGCTACCCAAAGTGCTGTTTCTACACCACGGAAGCGCCGACGGACGGTCAGACGCAGTTAGTGCTCTGACCTTCCGGTGACCCCAGATGACCTTTCGGTGGCCCCAGGTGACAGGTCGTGTCAGTGTTTTGTCAACGGTGACAGAGCAGAAGCCAGACGTGTGGCGAAACAGGAAAGGAGAGCTTGGGCAACGGTGCAGCAATAAGGAGTGTGAGGATGCATATGTGTGCAACAGGGAAGTTCAGAAGCTGCTTATTTTAATGAAGCAATAAAGCTATTTGTGGTTTACGTTATTGAGCCATAATGATTGCCCGTGCACTATTGTAATTATCTTTGCGGGATTGTTCTTTTGGCCGAAACAAAATATATCAAACGATATTGTTTCGAACAACATTCAATTTAGTCGGTTTATTTGCAGCTTCTAGGAAATATGGCTATTCAATTTATGCGGATAATGAAATGTGAATGATAATTATCGTTTTAACGACGATTAGTCGTGCTCGTATATCTTCTAAGTTGATGTTGAGTTGAAGCTTCCAGCTTCTAAATGTCTAAGTTGTATTTTCTAGCCAGTAACATGTCTACATGAATAAATACTGTGTTCATTGTCCATAGCGTTGTCCGCTGTCATTCAATAAACCGGCGCATGTCGACCCAATGTTCACCCCATCGCCATCGTCTCCGCTGTCCAACCACGTCCAAACTCGTTAGCTATGGAGGGAGAAGCGTTTATTGTCTACTGAATCCAGCTGACTACGGACCGGCTGATATGGAGCACTGCATCTCCTTCCTAACGACCACCCACACATCCAGGCGCAGCGGGCGCGCGCGCCGCGCGCACCTTCCAAACAATCCGCCGCGCTAGCGAGCAGCGATACCCACCCGGCCGGCGCCGACAATGCCATCCGTTATTGCTCGTGCTATGGATATCGCGGGCGGCACACAGCAGGACCTAACGAGCACGCGGTTTTGATTGTGTTTGGCTGTATGTAGATGGTCCTTGGAGACGAGTCTAACAATATGTCAAGGTGAAGCACCATCAATCGACTAAGCGTCGATAACAGATCGGAGGGGACATTGAACAGACGCCGCCAGTAGGAAGGTAAAACAAAACGCGCGCGCCGCCGCGCCCCAGCGCGAGCCACCGGCGAATTCGGCCGATTAGGGGAACAGACGGTTCAACCAACACTCTTCGCGCAACGCCACGCCGAGCTAGGAATGTGAGGACACAGAGTTGTTCAGGGTAGCTTCGCTGCAAAGGCGCTACATCGACACAAACGCTACACGCGGCAACTAAATAAATTACTGATGCAAATGAACAATGAACATCTCGGCGCCGAACGGAAACGCACCATCTCTCTCTCTCTCTCTCTCTCTCTCTCTCTAGAATTTGCGGATGCTGGCCGCTGCGGCGCCAGAGCGTGTAACCCGATTCATCATCCCTGATTCCGTCGTCGGACTTGGAGCGGTCAGACCGCCATACCCCGCAGCCCCGGCCGCCACTCTGTCACTCGCAGGCCGGCAGAGGCGCGCCGACCTAAGCTCAGAGCGGGCGCGTGCCTCGGGCCGTCACCGGTTGGATGTCACTCTCACACACAGTCTGACGTCACACAGACAGACACACAGACAGACAGACCGAGCTGTGTGACGTCACACACGGTCGGCGCGGCGCTCGGCCGGCCGGCTGGCAGCGCTCGAGCCGTACAAAACACGGCGCCCACATTTATGGAGTTGCACTGGAGCATGTGGCGGCAGTCCGCGCAGAACTGACCAGAGATCGACACGGCCGCGGGCGGCACGCGCAGCGCTTTTGTACTGGCTGTACTATAGGGAACTATTGCTGTGAGTCTCGCCTCCGCTCGGCCAGCGGACCGCGACAGGGTGAGAACTGGTGTGAGAGCGCGCACGCGTCGCCGGCGGCGGATGTGCCGCGCGCACACACTGCGCGCGCGGCAACAAAACCCGTAGGATGAGGTTTGACAACTATGCACAACATGTACACAGGTACGTGCAAAAAATATTCACAGGTACAAAAAACGGCCGGGCTGGGGCTGCCCTCTCTCTCGCGTTACCGCCGCCGTCAAACACATCGGCGGCTGTAAATGTGGCCGTCATATGTCCCTCTCAAAGTCTGTGGCCACTACAATGGGCCGGGCCGGCCGGCGCCCCACTGTATAACCGAAGACACCGGCCGGCCCCTGTGGCGGGCCAGCGCTTGATGAGGCCTGGCTGCCCGCCGCTAGATTCTTTCTCTGTACACATAACCAGCGTCCATGGCGCCTCCAGTTGGCCGTCGCGGCAGTGGCAGGCGTTCCATCTTCTCTCCGAGGTGGCGTTTCACAGGTGGTAACGGCGCATCCTTCGCCATATATCTCTTCAGCGGGCTGAGGTAGCCTCTTCACGCGCTGGCCGCCTCCATGGACTGGTTGCTTTCAGTGTACTCCATCTTCACCGCCGGCATGCTTAGGTCCTGTGAAGGAATAAAGATGTGTCAAGACAACTATACAGAAAATGACGAATGCTGAAAGCGAAAAGGTGGTCTTTTTAATTAATTATCAAGCACCTTTCAGTAGATGAAGCACTAGGTAACCGATATTTTCGCACTGAATACGAAGAAAATATCGATAAATACGAGCACTGAATGGAATCTTAATTAACCAAACAAAACTATTCCAGGCCAGTCACTGTACCCACCTCTGCGCCGTTGTTTCCGTTCTCGGCCACAGCGTCTCGGCTGGCGCCACCGTCGCGCGACTCGGGGGTCCGCGGGTTGTCTGTGTACTCGGTGTGCTGGCCGGCCGGGGGCGGCGGCTGGGGCGCGTGCGGCGTGTCGTTGAGCAGGCTGGTGACGGGCAGCCGGAGCTCGGGGCTGCCGCTGGCCGGTCGGTGCCGAGCCGCCACCAGGGACGGCGGACTGGCGGAGCGCCGCTGTAGGCCCAGCAGCGTGGGCGCGTCCCGCTCACGCATCTCGCGCAGCCGCTCGGCGGCGTTGGCCATGAAGGGCAGGTTGGAGTCGACCAGCGCTGACTGCAGGCCAGAGCTGATGGTGTCTCCGTACAGGGTGGGACTGTTGGACAGCGTTGGACTGCGTGTCTGTCTGTAAAACCAGAAAGGAGGAGGAAGGTTAGCTGAGAATCTTATTTCGACCGGTTCAGATGAACGTAACTTCCGCAAATACAAGCCAAGACTTAAGCAGCTACGTTAAATGATACCACATAGGAGCATTCCATAGTAAACAAGGCATTAAATAACTCATATCGGGCAAGCGCGTATGCAGAAACACAAAGTACCAAATCTAGCCACCTGGTGGCAGGTTACAAAACGACCAGTACAAATAACAATCGCCAGGTGTCTGTAAAAAACCGTGAACTTACCCAGCCGATCTCTGCGGGCGCCGTTTGCAGAATTCCACCTCGTCCACCGTCCACACAGCCCCCTTGACATTCTCCACGCGGGTGAAGCACTTGTGCAAGGAAAGGTTGTGTCTGACGGCGTTCTGCAAACAAAAACACAGGAGGCGGTTAAACGCGAAGAAGGGACGTCAGTCATCATGGGGTCGCTTTTTACGTTTCAGCTAATAATGCGCATGAGTTGGACAGCACACAATACTTCGACCGAATGGCATTTGTCACGGTATGACGGGCATCTTTCCGTAACGGCGTATGCCAAGCGGGTGACGCAAACTGCAGTACTTGAAACCGTAAACACCACAGCGTCAGACAGTCAACAGGGTTGCATAACCAGGTGAATCAACAGGGTTGCATAACCCAAAACCCGTGCTTATGACGACGAACGCCACGCCACGTGAATCACATCGTCCACGTACCTTCCACGTGGCGGCATTGCGGCGGAAGTATGCAAACGTGCTCTGGAACCAGCTGTAGATCTCATTCAGCGTAAGCTGCTTGTCCGGGGACTCGACAATAGCCTGCAACGAACAACACATGTCAGGAAAGTGCCACAACAAACTACCACAAATCCCTGCATAAACAAATAAAACAGGAAATACATGATTTCATGGCTGGGTATAGGCTCAGAAATAATGATTGCATGATTGAATAGATAGTTTGTTTGCAGTGCGACCGCAGGCTTGTTGCAGCCGGGGAAGGCCGAGACTCACCTGACGAATCAGCGAGGCGTATGTGAAGGGCGGCCGAATGTCTGTGGTACGGTAAAACTCCCGGTTTCTGGACAGCTCTGCGGAAATACAGCGGCCCGTTAGCTAACGGAAAACAACACTACCTGACAATGCAGCGCGGCAAAAAGATGACGATTAAAACGGTCGGGACGCCTACGTATATGAGAAATAAAGCACTTAGACGTTCTCAAATCAAATGCGTTAGAGCGTAACACTACGCGTGAATTTTAAGCCATTCAGACGATAAGGCTCGCAGACGAAACATAATAGCCGTTATCTCACAATGCGGGAGCCCTCAAGTTGATTCATTCTTCTGTCTCTTTTACATAAACGTAATCCCAACTTTCGTCGCAAACCGGAAGTTTGGTCTGTTTAGGAGTCTCAACGCTCCACTCTATGTAAGCCAGATTTCTTTCTCGTTCGGCTAAAATAGTAGGCTCACAGGTGAAGAAAACAACCACCGGGGTTCAAGTTCAATCTCTGAGGAGTGGAACGTGTGGGGGATTTAGTTTGTTTCTTACCCTCTGTGATATCCTGGCCGGCCCTCTCGGCCACACGCCGTCTCTGGGTCTGTGTCGGCGCCTCATCATACGGGCCTGGGGGCACAGAGGTCAGGTCAGGTCAGTTGTCAGGTAAAATGGCCTTGAAACTGAGCACACACATGGCCAGACGCCTAGACGTTACACTACCCTAAATTTATCTTTGATTTGTCACGCCTTTTCCAAAGGAAATCCTTGAAAAGCGCGGTGCATTTTGGGGAGTCTGGTCCTTCTTCCGCATAAATAAATCCGTGCAAAATAACCATTTGTATTATACGACCTATTGAATTTGACGGCCGAATTATCATATGAATGGGAACAGCCCGTTCTTTTTCATTTTCCCAGCGATACCAAGGCACTGGTATCCAAGCGTGACACAGCGCTTAAATCACCGACACGTTAGAGTTTTCCCACGGAAACATCAATAATTTATCCATAGACACATGTTTGGCTTGTTGACTTGGCTTCAAGCCCACCATCCCCAACACCCAGCACCTGGAGCAGCCTCCCCCTTCTCTACCGCATTACACATGCATCTACGTCAAAACCTATGCAAATAACCTCAGATCTCCCGTAAACTCCCACGGGACGTTCCACACCACGTCAAACAATGCCTTCCCACTCCCTCTGAGGGGATCCCCGCGGCTGGCAGCCCTCGTCCGCTCACCTGGCGTGAGGCTCTTGTCGTTGGCTCGACGACGCACCGGGCCGACTGCGCTGGCCGTGGAGGCGACTGGGGGAGCGCCTCCCTGGAGGATGGCTGAGCGCAGGAACGGGTGGCCGGAGAGCAGCTGGCTGGCCGGGGCGGTAGACGGGAACACCGAGGCTGACACCTTCGGGTGGGTGGATACCACCTGAGAACGCAGAGGGCGAGCGTGAAGGTCAGTGACTGAACGGTGGAGTCAAGTGTGGGCATGAGAAGTAAAAGTGTGGAGACATGAAAATACAGACCAAGAGAAGATGTATAAGAAAATGCATTGGAGTGAAA